AATTCATTTTAAATACATTTTTGAATGACAGTGTGACAAACTGATCATTTTAAGTTTTTAGAGTATTTGACTTTTTTATTAAGCATTTTGATTCTACTGTAATTTTCTGCAATATAATTCCCATCTAGGAAGTAATGTTTCTGTTTAGCTTAAATTTATTTTTATTCCAGTTTTAGTTTTAGTCATTTTAATACTCAGCCAGGCAGCACTTCTAGTTTTTCTTTTTTTTCCCCCATCTAATATTTATATTTTATTTGTATTTTTTTTAGCTTTATTTCAATTAACAAAGACATTTTTTAATATATTTAACTTTTTTATGTTTTAGTTAACATTAATAGCACTGCTTGGTGCATAATTCTTTTGGCTCCAAATCTTGTTTCTATCAGCGTCTGTGAATCTGTGCTCCCCTGCATAAATTCATGTTCACACAAGGTCAGATTTTAGAGCTTAAGAGCTCAAAGTGTCTCTGGACTATGTATAATTTCTAATCATCAACAGTACCATATTCAAAAAAACATCATTTAATTAAAATCATTTTTAATTATTCAGAATTTCATTAACACCACTGCGTCTAAAAGGTCAGAGTCAGACAGGCTTAAAAATTTTCAAGTCTTTTGTTTGAAAGTGCTGACTGCTGGTTTTGACTTATTCCTTTGGCAGTTTGGCAATGAATGAATTAAATGCCCTTCTGAGAGAAATATCCATTATGGAAGAAGTAAAAACAGCCATTACATATCCCAGTCAGTTTTCTACCAGTAGTGCAGCTGCTGTTTGTGTGAAATCAAGTAAATTACATTCATACTCGATGTGGTATCAAGTATCAAGTGGAACGGTGGTTGTAAACACTCTAATGAGTATCTGAGGATGTCTGTGTTATCAGTTGAGTGGTTGAGTCACTGTTTGTTCAGTTAATCATGCTGTTGTATCCTTTCCTGAATCGAGGTGCAGATTTAATATTTTATGCTAATAGTTTAGGGATTTAAAGGGGTGGTTCATTGCGATTTCACTTTTTTAACGCTAGTTAGTGTGTAATGTTGCTGTTTGAGCATAAACAATATCTGCAAAGTTATGAAGCTGAAAGTTCAATGCAAACGGAGATATCATCTTTTAAAATTCTAGCAGTTTAATGCCTACAAAAACGGCTGGTAAGGACTACAAGAAGTTACTTCCCGGGTTTGTGACGTAATAAACCCAGATAAACCCTGCCCTCGGGAAAAGGCAGCAAAGGGGGCGAGGCCATGCTGCGCTGCTTTAGAGAAGAGGAAGAGAAAACTAGAGGAGCATGTAAAAATCTATTCATATATGAATCGCGATTCTGTCTTCTAACGATTCTAATGGATTGCAAAATCAATGTTCTAAAGCAGTGGTTCTTAATACTGTTCCTCGCGTCCTCCTGCTCTGCACGCGCTCTGCATCTCTCTCTCTCTTTTTCTCTCTCTCTCTCTCTCTCTCATTTAGCTCAGCTCCAACAATGAACTGTTCCAATTATACACTTATTTTCACATAGCTATGAGAAGCGTTAAACATGGCGCGTGCAGTTGCCGTGTTGTATTAAAGCTTTAATCAGGATAAAACCTTATATTAAAAGCTAACATAAGCAGTAGCATTTACAAATAACAGCATATCTAAAAGTTTTCATTAACACCACTGCGTCTAAAAGGTCAGAGTCAGACAGGCTTAAAAATTTTCAAGTCTTTTGTTTGAAAGTGCTGACTGCTGGTTTTGACTTATTCCTTTGGCAGTTTGGCAATGAATGAATTAAATGCCCTTCTGAGAGAAATATCCATTATGGAAGAAGTAAAAACAGCCATTACATATCCCAGTCAGTTTTCTACCAGTAGTGCAGCTGCTGTTTGTGTGAAATCAAGTAAATTACATTCATACTCGATGTGGTATCAAGTATCAAGTGGAACGGTGGTTGTAAACACTCTAATGAGTATCTGAGGATGTCTGTGTTATCAGTTGAGTGGTTGAGTCACTGTTTGTTCAGTTAATCATGCTGTTGTATCCTTTCCTGAATCGAGGTGCAGATTTAATATTTTATGCTAATAGTTTAGGGATTTAAAGGGGTGGTTCATTGCGATTTCACTTTTTTAACGCTAGTTAGTGTGTAATGTTGCTGTTTGAGCATAAACAATATCTGCAAAGTTGCAGCGCTAAAAGTTCAATGCAAAGGGAGATATCGTTTTTTAAAATTCTGGCAGTTTACTGCCTACAAAAACGGCTGGTAGGGACTACAACGAGTTACTTCCCGGGTTCGTGACGTAACAACCCCAGATAAACCCCGCCCTCGGGAAAAGGCAGCAAAGGGGGCGAGGCCATGCTGTGCTGCTTTAGAGAAGAGGAAGTGAAAACTAGAGGTGCACGTAAAAATCTATTCATATATGAATCGCGATTCTGTTTTCTAACGATTCTAATGGATTCACAAGTTTCAAAATCAATGTTCTAAAGCAGCAGTTCTTAATACTGTTCCTCGCGCTTCTAACGATTCTAATGGATTGCAAAATCAATGTTCTAAAGCAGTGGTTCTTAATACTGTTCCTCGCGTCCTCCTGCTCTGCACGCGCTCTGCATCTCTCTCTCTCTTTTTCTCTCTCTCTCTCTCTCTCTCATTTAGCTCAGCTCCAACAATGAACTGTTCCAATTATACACTTATTTTCACATAGCTATGAGAAGCGTTAAACATGGACGCGCGCGTGCAGTTGCCGTGTTGTATTAAAGCTTTAATCAGGATAAAACCTTATATTAAAAGCTAACATAAGCAGTAGCATTTACAAATAACAGCATATCTAAAAGTATGAGACAAACAAAAAACATAGGCCTACCATTAAGAGCCGTGCTTGCACATGTTCTGCACGATCCTCTTCAATAATATCCTCTGCTTCTCAATCGGGCTCATGCCGCTGAGGTGAGGGGCGGGATGATTATACACGCACAAGAGACGGTTGAGCCAATCACAACACACTGGGCTAGCTAACCAATCAGAGCCCATCGCCTATTTCTGAGGGAGGGGCTTCATAAAAGCATGAAATTGATCAACGCGTTTCTCAGAGAAGGGACAGAGTGGTGTGGAATAAAGGTAAATTACAGTATGTGAAAAATAATGCGTTTTTAAAAAAACGAAGCATTAACACGTTAGACTGCACCCCATAAACACAATCAAGCCTAGAAAAAAAACAGTGAACCACCCCTTTAAGATAACCTTCAAACACTATTCTTGGAGGAAAAACACCTGTAAGGCTGTTGCATTTTCTTTTCACTAAATCTAGTATCTGTTCCATTTTTGATGTTAAGCGAGGTTCTTGATGCTTTTTTATGTCTGATAGCTCTTGGCGTTCATCTCAAGGCGTAACTTGTGATTCTCACCCAACTCCCTCAGCTCTTCTCGTCCTAATCACGCATTTCTGCATCTTTCCAGATGCCTGAGATTACTTTGTGACAATTCAGGCTGATTCTTACTAATAAATTGTGATGTAATACCCTGGAGTTTCTTTGTTTCAGTAAATATAGGCGTATCTCTATGGAGCTTTGACATTTTATAGGCTTCAGTACCATGGGCGGTGTAGCCTAGTGGTTAAAGATCTGTGTTTGGGCAATTTGCCTCTTATTTGAGCTCAAAATCACTCAATCAGTGACAAGTCAACTCTGCTGTTGCATCTGTTCCAATTTACAGCAAGTCAAACGTGAATACAGCTTGAGATACAAAGATCATTTTGATCTCTAATAGGGTGAGGCGGTGATGTTTCTTTACTCCATCCGTGAAATACATGACGTCCCATCAATTTCTGAGAATGTCCTTCTCTCTTCTTGTGTAATGACAGCTTTGATGGCAGGTTCAAGATGTGCTTCATGCTGACACTCAGGTGATGGTGGGACAAGTGTTTTTTTTTTTTTTAAATGCAGCTACATTGGTTGACTGGTCCAGCCTGCCATGGATGGGACGTCCTTCCCCTGACCGCACTGCTGACTCCCCCTCAGACATGAGCGCGGAGGGTGGAGAAGCTCTCTTCTGCTCTGCTTTCATCTAAGAATGCTCTAATGATCAAGAAGACAGCACTGGCTCTGGACGTGATTGAGAGAGATGGATGCTGCAATGGCGATTTCGTTGAAGAAACAGAATGAGGTTGGGTAACAAGGCAGCTGTTTATGTCTGCCGATGTGTCAGATGTATGATTGAGGATCACCTTGTGCATTAAAGGACTTTAATCTCACCATGAAATCAAATTGGGCAATTCCTTTTTTTTATGGAATGTTGCAGTGTTTATTATAAATACATAAATTATAAATTTAAAATTTTTGTGCCCGCCCTTTTGCAACAACACCCGTTCTCTGATGGCATGTATACAGGTGCGAAGGCTGGACAAAGAGGTTGTCCAAAAGCCAGGCGAATTTCAATCAATTCCTTTCAGCAATCCGTCAGTCACATGAGATCACAGCAGTAAGAAAATGACAACACTATCTACCATCCAATGGATTTCCCCTTTTTTCTTGTTTGGGAGTATAAAAGTAGTTTTAATGCAGTAATTATGCCTTGTAATGCTCCTTATAATGCATTTTATGATCTCATGAATAATTGTAACCACAGTCAAAATACATTATAATACGTATCTATAAATTGCTAAACCTTTAGAAAATAAAATGCATTATAACATGACAAACAAACCTTTAAATATTGTAATGCATTTTAACTTAGGTTACAATTATTTATGAAATGCTGTAATGCATGAAAAACTATTTCCTCACTTCCTTACTTATTATACTTATACTTTCCTTACTTGTAAAATTGCATTAACTGAAATAAAATATAAAAAAGCTAGTTGATATGGCAACATTTCTCATTTTTGTTTAGTTTAAGTACTAAAATATTTAAAAGTACTAAAATAAGTACTAAAATTAACATTTAAAATACATTTATTCAGGAATTAATTTTATTTATTGAAAACTGTTTAAAAACATATGACCGAATGAGTAAAAGTGTTGCAAATTTAGCCTAAATTAAGCTGTCACTCAGTAGAGGCAAATTGACGTGTTAAAAAACATAGATATCAATATACATATGTATGCATTAGCAGCTGCTCATATGAACCACTCTTTGTAAGCTGTTTGCCATATTGGAAAGGTAAAAGTACAGTAAGTCCATGAACTCTTGAGAGCAAGCTGGCTGCAAACTAGTTACTCATAAGTATGAATATCTGTAAGTCTTTCGCAGCTAATTGTGACAGTATTTAGTTTATCACTGATGTAAGATAAGTCTGCAAATGACAAATAAAAAAGTATATTGGTTAAAGCTCCTATAAATCTTAATCTTCAAACAACCCTTCCTTAGAAATACATTGTTCTTACAACCATTGGCTGCACAATGTTGAAAATTCATTTAAAAAATAATGAAAATAATGAAAATTCATTGTTTTGTTAGTGTGAGTGATTAGCAGCGTCTGAAATGTTGTAGTTCCCAATGCCTTGATGTGTCTGAAACGCTCAAATGAGGTATGCTAGTTATGCTAGACTAACCTTGTACTTTCACAGCACATAGATTTGTGCAACTAATGCAACATAGATTTGTGCAACTAATGCTTTTTAAAATGTAATGGGACATTCAGTATACTGTATTCATTACAGGAACATTCCCCTGTAACTGCCTGAGGTACTTTTCAGTAGTCTCTCTCAGTAGTCATGTCAAAGTAGTAACTAAATCAGCATACTATCATCTCAAAAACCTTGCAAGAATTAGATGTTTTGTTTCCAATCAAGACTTGGAGAAACTTGTTCATGCCTTTATCACCAGCAGGGTGGACTATTGTAATGTGTTTTAAATTCATTTTAAATCAATTTTTAAATCATTTTAAAAGTTTTTAAATTCCTTGTTTTATTGTTGTGATTATTTTTATGATTATTTTACTTCCTTTTATGTAAAGCACTTTGAATTATCATTGTGTATGAAATGTGCTATATAAATAAACTTGCCTTGCCTTTTGTTCAGGTGCATTCTTGGCTCATGGCTTGCTTATAGGCATCAAACCAGCAAGCTTCTTTTTACCAGCCACACAGGCCAGGTAGATGTAGAGGTAACAGATTTGTTTTTTGTGATAGTCCAAGTGAATAGACATGCAGTGTGCTTGATCGGAATGATCCCTGTGCCAAGAGTAGACATTTCTTTAAATAGAGCAATAGGATGTCTGCATTAAACATTGTGTTCCTGATGCCACATATGCCAGAGTGCATTATAAAACATGTTAGTGTGAGGAGAAACATTAGCAGCATTAGGGTGTAATTTTTCTGTGTTCAGGAGTGGTAATGATTTGTTAAAGCCTGTGAAAAACAAACAAGGTCGTGTTATCTGTCCTTGCTCTGTGATTGCAGCTGCTGGCCGCCAAACAGAAGGCCTTCCATCTCCTTCCAGAGTAATTAGTGTTTGCTAAATGTTGCACGGCTGCCTGAATTACCACGTTATGCAGCTGGTGAAAGTCATTTCAGCTGTGCTTATTTTCCTACCTTTAGAATTAATAATGTCGTGCAGTTGTTTTATTGCAGTGTATAGTTAGAAACTCGCGACACATTTAGCAACGCTCTTTTTCTCAGGTTTAGGCCCTGTCCTAAATAGCGCAAATTATATGTACTTGTGGTGTTATGGTCTTTCATTGGCTATCACATGTCTATGAAGTACACTTGACTATGGGGACAATGGGGTCATCATAGTGCAGACTTGGAAATCCAGTCATTTCAATAGAAATCAATGCTATGAGGAATTTCCTGTGAAAGCGAAAGATTGCCCTATGCAGATTACACAACTGTTTCAAGTTGGTCAAGGAGTTTCATCACGTTGACCAACATAAAGCTATTTGGTTTGAAAGTGACTTCTGTGTGTGGTGACAAAAGACCTTTTTGTATGTGAAATTTTGTTGATATTTCGCAAGTACGGCTGTACCTTTAGGATTATATATGAGACTTTAGAGAGCTAATGCAAACTTTTCTCAGATCTTAAAGGCTGTGACACACCAAGTCAACCGTCAGCCGTCGGACAAAAGCTTGGGCCATCATTGAGCATCTGTCAGCCTAGTATTTGGGATGTGTTATACACCAATGGCACTAGTCATCTAATTGGCTCATTAGCTTAGCAAACCAGTGATTGAGAAGAAAACGAAAGTGAGCAAATGATGAGGGTTGTTCAAGTGCTTTTTTTCGGCTAAGATACAGGTGACGTGCAGTGACAACACAGTTCATCGCTGCTAGTTCTTTGATGTCACTTAGTTGTTTCACAGGCTTAAAATGTATGGCAGCAGCCGTATTCCACTTGTCTATTGGCAAACTCTTTTATACAACAACCTCCCGTAGATCTAACTCCCTCTGGGGCTACAGGCTGTTTGGATGGAGACCACATGCAGATTACGTGCATCACTTTGAGAGCATGCAAAGCAGTACAGCTCTCTTAGAACGCAGACAGCCAGCCAGCACCAGCAAAGGTCACTTTGAATGGCATGTAGACTTACTCCAGCTTTATATGCTTTGCATGAAAGGGATTTCTTTCTTTTGTGGTATGCTACTCAATTTCTGCACAGCCATCATTGACTGATGTTTCAGAAGTACTGCCTGAATAGATAAACCTTGACTTTCAGAAAAATAATGTGTAAAAAATGTACTTTTAGGGGTAAAAGCGCTAGTAGCCTTAGAGGGACATCTTTGTACCTTATCTACCCCTAAAATGTGCATATTAGTAACTTAGTAAAATGTAACCTTAAGGTACTACTATGAACCTTTCAGGGGTAGATAAAGTACAAAATTGTTTCTTTGAGGATATCATCCCAGTGACGAGCTGTCATGCCCCTAAGAGTAAAATTTTTAGCACATTTTTTTCCTGAGTGCCACTTATTCTCTCTGTATCTTCTATATACATCCTGAAGAGATATTAATGACAGTGGATGGTGACCATACGGTCAGCTTGTAACCTTGTTCTGCTTGTTTATTTTTATGTTCCATATCAAAAAGAACGTCTTGAGGGTGAGTAATGGCTCATTTTAGGGGAAATAAGTGCAGTTACATGAGACATTTCACTCAGAGATGTCGTTTTTACAGACTAGATGTATTTAGATGTCTAAACAGTTTTGAAACAAAGGTGGAGGAGGTTGCTTTGTCATCTGTTCTCAAAGATAGACCGTTTCTGAAATCTGAACCTGTGATCTGTATTTCAGGATGGTAATTCAAATTCAATTCAAAGTCAAGCACTGTTACAGCTTCATACACCTCACGACCTGAGAACTAAGTTCTTTAGTGTTTGCTTCAGTAGTTTCTCTAGTCTAAAAAATGGCTTTGCGTCTCACTGAGCACTGGTCGCTGAAAAACAGAACGTTTGTCCTTGAATGTGCCATTTTGAATCATTGAATCTCTGACAACTATATATTAATGCCGTTTAAATGACTTGAATGTAATTGCGTTTTTTAATAGCACAGAGCACTGAATGAACATTGATCTAATAGTGACTTTCTTTTCTCTTTCATGCTTGCATGTGGATCTCGGATGCCCATCATCATCATCATTTTACAGACTAGATGTATTTAGATGTCTAAACAGTTTTGAAACAAAGGTGGAGGAGGTTGCTTTGTCATCTGTTCTCAAAGATAGACAGTTTCTGAAATCTGAACCTGGGATCTGTATTTCAGGATGGTAATTGGAATTGGTAATTGGATTCCTTTTATTTACAACATCTGCTTGCTAATCAGTGTCAGACTGTTGCCTTTCTTACATGTGTGTAAATAACCATGTGACCAAGCGCTTAAAGGTTTGTATAGCGCATGTTGGAAAGGCTTTAGACATATGTTTTTTTTGTACTGAAAAAAGGACTGTCCTTGCATGAGCTGTTGACTAATATAGAGTTTGTGAAGGGAATAATTGTGGCCTTGACTCATTAATCATGACTTCTGTCACACGGCACTTACGATCACAGACAGCCGTAGATTTACTCCCACGAAGTTAAATAGCAGTCGTTTGAAATTCTCTTCACTCGTATTGAATGACACGATCAGTCAAAGAACAGCTACAACTCTCTTGGCAAGCTTGACACTTTATAAACAGGAAGTATTTTCTGTAACAGTTTGCACTTGAGTGTAATTTATTCAGTGGGCCTTTTAATAACTGTTTTTTTTTTCAACAGTACAGAACTGCTTGCTTTATCATTTATTTTTAGGAAATGTTTTTATTGTGTTGACAGTAATGTGGCTAATTAGTGCTTGCTGTTTTTAAAGGAATGGTTCGTGCATAAATACAAATGTTCATTTGTTTCTTCAAATGTCATTACATTCTATTTACATTTTGTTCATTTCCATAGACATAGTGTTTTTTTTCTGCCACTACCTGTACACTACCGGACAGATATAAAAAAGTCTATTCAATTCAATTCCTTCTATTCAACAAGGACACATTAAATTGTTAAAAAATGACATTTATAATGTTACAAAAAATTACACTTTAAATATATGCTGTTCTTTTGCACTTTAAAATATTGTTCTTTTGAGCATTTTACAATATATTAGATATATTGTATATATTATAATATATATAAAATAGGAAACAGTTATTTTAAATTGTAAAAAATATTTCACAATTTTACTGTATTTCTGGTCAAATAAATGCAGCATTGGTAAGCATGAGACTAAAGAAAACCATTAAAACCCCAAACTTTTGATCAATAGAGTAAATAAAATAAGACCATATAAAGTCCATAGCGTTTAAAAGTGTACAAATACATAAACAACAAATAAATAAATTATGACATTATTTTATGTAATTCTAAGTAAAATATGTATAAAATAAAATAAATATATGTAGAATAATCTGATAAAAAAAAATTTTTTGCAGTCGCTATGATTGATTAATTGATTGATTTTGATTGTATGGAAACAGAGTAACCTGGACATGTGCAAAACATCTTCTTTCAGGTTGCACATTTGCACATTTGCAATGATATGAAAGTGAGTAAACGATGACAAAATACCATTTATGCATGAACTATTCTTGTTA